CTGATGGCTGTTTGCAGGCTGGTCACACCCCCTTCAGGGTGAGGGTCCCACTGGGGTGCCTGGTCAGCCTGGGTGAGGGGCTGATGGCTGTTTGCAGGCTGGTCACCCCCTTCAGGGTGGGGGTTCCCACTGGGGTGCCTGGCCAGCCTTGGTGAGTGGCTGATGGCCATTTTCAGGCTGGCCATGCCTGTGAGCTGGAAGCAGGTATCTGGGATTTATTTATCTTCTATAATTGAACTTTGTAGCCTTGAGAGGAGCTCAGGTAGGCCAGAGCAGGCGGGAAGCTTGGCTTCCTCCATCACCGGGGCAACTCACGCCTCCTGCTCACTCCAGCTCCGTGGCCGCCACCATCTTTCTGATGGAGTGACGAAGTGAGGGAGTGATGGTTAATTTGCATATTACTCTTTTCCCTTTTTTTAGATAGGATATTTCAGAAAAGAAGGGTGAGGGAGTGATGGTTAATTTGCATATTACTCTTTTCTTTTTTTTTTAGATAGGATATTTCAGAAAAGAAGAGAGAGGGACAGGGAGATGGAAACATCAATGATGACAGAATCATTGATTGGTCACCTCCTGCATGCCCCCCACCAGGAATCGAACTCTGACTTCCTGGTTCATAGGTCAACACTCAACCACTGAGCCATGCTGGCTGGGTGAGCCTTCTCACTCTTTTTGCATTTATAGCTATGTTGAGTCTAGGGGATGATTTTATCAACAGTTCAGTTTAATTGTTTTAAGCTGAAGTTGTTAAATTTCTTAAGACGTCCAAGTTATTACCAGTAATTAGAATCCATATAATTGGATGCCTTTTATTTTTAAATGACCTGTTTGTTGTGAAGCTATTTACCTGGAATCTTCTTTACGTGTTTGGAAGGGCAGAAGAGGTTATTTTTTATGCTATAGTTTGAAGCCTCTAAGCATGGTAGTGGCCATAATAAAACTTACACAAAAACCTACTGCACCTTGAGAAACTGACATTTTGGAAGCATTACAACTGCTTTGAGGAGAACAAATAGTGGGTTTCTTTGGGGATTTACTTGAAATCAGATGATCAGGGATGCTGGACTAGATCTCTTCAGACTAGATGTAGAGATTTTCATCCTACTTCTTTTGCTTTGAAACCCTGGCTACTTCTTAGAGGTTCAAGCTACTACATAGGAGTAGATGTAAATTGCAGATAGATAAAAAGTCTCCCCTTTCTTTGCATTGGCTGCTGAATGTGTACATTGTTTGGAAAGATGAAGATAGCAAATGAGGTCCACTGTAAACAGTGTTGAAAAAGGAATCACTGTCAAGAAAGAAATAGAAGAGTACAGAGTGGCACTAATGCAATAATACAATGAGCATAGTGTACCTCATTAATTTGGAAATATTTCTTGCTTGCTTCTTATCTCTGTTGGTTGTCTAATGAGTCTAAGTTGCTTTGATGGGCAGACACATATTTCACCAATATGGGAGGCTGCCTTTGCAGAAAAACAGATGTTTCTAAGTGGTCTTTCGTTTGTTCATCATATGTCCCACCTCTATGTCATCCCCTTTTGTGCACAGGGACTTGCACTGCTATATTTCTAGGGCGTGGGACGTACTTACACGTAATGGATATTTAATAGATACTTGCTAAATGAATGAGTACTTGCTTTCATTTAATATATTTTGTTTCAATCTGGTATTTGATTTGAGTTACTATATCTACATTAATTCTCAATGTTTATATTCTCACAAAATGCCTTTCAGTGTTATGTTTCTATAAGACTATTTTACTTTCATGAGACCACCACGAAGATGCCTTTTAACCTTTCTTTTCTGATAGGGACACTGTTCCAAGTTCTAAAATATGGTGTAAAGTATCCCATGGTATACTCTCTGTTCTTCAAAAGTAATTTCTGAAGGAAATTCTGTATGAGGTATTGGATAAGGTGGTTCTAAAAATGTAGGTTAGGTTAGAAGTCGAGGCTCTGGTTCTCACTATGTTATAGGATTCTTTTCATTACAACCTTCTTTATTACTCCTAACTGGGTAAATAATGAATATATTTATCTTGTCTCTAAAAATTGCAAGAAAGCAAGAGGTCTTGTATTAAATTCTGGAGATCAAAACAGACAAAGCCCAAAAGCATCTTTCTCCTTTATCATCAAGATTTGAAATTGCATAATTGACACTATGCTTTGTTCTTCCAACACTCGACCTCTTTGCTCAGATTTACTTTTATTTTGTTTAGAACTGATCTCTGTCTATACTTTTTAAGCTTTAATTCTAATTTTCATTTGACTCATGTTTGTTTGTTTGATTGTTTTAATTTCTAGTCTCCTTCCTTATTTCTTTGTGAGCAAATAAGCTTGAACTTTGTTCCTTTGATTTCTTTCTCTGAAACAAATGATCAGTTACACAAACAAGTGACAGACATCCCTAGAGATTCTGTGAATATTAAAAGGAAATATTATGAATAATAAAGATCAGAACAGAAATTATTGAAATTGAAAACAGAAAAATTAATTAAACAAAAACTGTTTTTTTAGAAGATCAATGAAATTGATATACCTCTAGCAAGACTGTTCAGAAAACTACAGACCAGTATCCCTCATGAATATAGATAAAAATATTCTTAAAAAATTTTATCAAATTAAATTAGCAACATATTATATATATACTAGAGGCCCAATGCACGAAAATTCGTGCAAGAATAGGCCTTCCTTCCCCTGGCTGCCGGCACCGCCTTCGCTCTGGCCCGGAGCTGCCTCTCTGCCTTCACTCTGGCCCAGAGCCACCTCTCCGCCCTCGCTCTGGCCAGAGCTGCCTTCCCCTGCTTGCCTTGTCACATCAATTTGCATATTCCCTCCAATTGGCTGTGAGCGCC